CAACATATGGATGATTCTTTAGAAATAGCATTAATGGTGTACATTATCATTCATCAATTATTTGCAGCTTGTGTTGAGTCGAGATCTCTGTGATGAGTTTGATCGATTGCAAAATGTGGACTCCCTGGTTCTTCGCAATCTTTGCCTGATGTCTCCAGTAATCGAGTATTGTAAGTTTTTTTTCAACATTCCCATTTCGTTAAATATTCATTGTCTCCATCTTCACATACTAAATTTTATTGTTTCAGGGAGCAGCAACGAATGCACCTTTACAAATCGAATTTCGAGTCTTTGTTTCCATAGTATTTGGTTTGATCATGCCGAAGATATCGACAATTTTGTGGTGAATTTCTTTGTTCTTTCTGCTTCTAGATAAATATGTGAAACCGCTTAGGTTTTCAGTGGTAAAACTTGAATTTACTAAAAAATTATGAATACATAGGACTAAGAGTTTTTTGGTTTAATTTATTTGTTATGTTTATGTAAACTGAATCAGGTGGCACTCTATAATATGAATTAAAATTAGGTGAAGTTATGTTGTCTAAATATATATATATATATATATATTACTTATTTATTTATTTATGCAATTACCTGGATGTAGTGATGATGTTAATTATTTCAGTCGATAATATCTGGAAGCGTCAAAAAATTGTATCTTTCCGATTGCAGCGCGAAAACAATTTTGAATATAGGAGGACGGCTTCGTAATCTCCACAGTAAACTTGAAGTCCTTTATATTGCCATCGATCATCGAACGTTTCGAACTGTCGATCATGCACACCAGTTGTTTAAGGTATTTTATTACATGAATGGATAACTGAATGAATGTACGCAATGGCTGAAGAAAATCTTACTGAACAAAAAAAGGACCAAAACTTTCCACTAGTAATGCTAAAAAAAAAACCTCTAACTAAGCGTAGGAGATCTATAAGCTAGCGTAGGAGATCTATAAGTAATGCTAAATATTTTGCTTTTCAGGAAATATCTGATTTAACCGACAAGTTGCATATCTGCGCCTGTTTCTCGCGTTTTGTCTACCAACCTGGTTTCCGAATACTTGTGAGTGTCATCTCTTTATTGCCTGAATTCCATCAAATAACTGCGGTAGAATTGGATTTGGGGCCTTTGCGAAAGAATATGCGAACCTATGATCAGTTTTTTGCTGGTAGTTTATTGTCTTCTATCTTTTCTTCGTTCTTGATAACATTGTGATGAGACATCGTTAAACTGGCTTCTTATGACAATCAATCCAACATGTGGTTTGCAAAATCTTGGTTGCATATTTTGTTAAACAAATTGTAGGTGAATTTTATTTATTTCAGTTTATTTGATTTACGATTAAGAAACTAAAATTTGAGATGCTTATACATTTTGCTATATATTAGGACATTGTTTTATTTCTAATCAATATGTGTTTTAGATTAATTATTTCAGGTCTACCTCAAATGTCACAGCTACGTGTTCTGCGCTTATTTGGCTTTCCGATTAATTATGGTTGCATGGATCTTTGGAAGGCAATATTGCGGTCTGTCGCACAGTTATCACAGATTACTGAATTTTCAGTAATCAATTTGCTAAGAAATATTCGAACCGATGAACTGAAGGCTTTTTGCGGCTCGCTGCCTGCTAATTTGAGCACATTCGCGCTCCATCACGTTCACCAGTTGCAAGACGACCACTTTAGCCTTATCGCTCAGGTATATTTCTTATGACTTCTATGGAAAACTTTTTGAATTGCAAAGCATAATTTCTTTTTTTTTTTGGATCACTATATTTTTCAAGATTTTTGGTATACTAGGAAGTTCAAGGACGAAACAGTCCAAGAAGAAAGAGAATTATTTAACTGGTCATTTCATTATATATAAAGCAGAATAAAATAAACGAAAGTTACAGCGTTGTCCTCGATTGGATACGTTATATGTTCGTGACCTGCGATCAGTAACATCAGAGGGCATAATGAAAGCTCTGATGGAGTTCCGAATGTTAACTAAGATAGCGGTATGTCATTCGGGTCCAGTTACAAAGGAAGCCTACGAATTACTGGCCAATCGTGAAGCTATGCCTCATATTGAAGCTGTCATTTTGGGTGGTAATCGAGACCATCAGAGCGGTAGTAAGTCTTCGATTTTGTTAAAGATATATATGGATAAAATATCTTCATTATAGTGTAAGCTCTACCATTTCTAATTCGTCACTGTTAGGTCATGAGTTAATGCTATAAATAACATAAACATTGTTTCAGCCGTCTTGGATGCTCTGTTGCGTCGACTGCCACAATTCCGCGTGATGGGCACATGGAATCGATGGCGTGATTGTGAGTACCATCTGTGGCGTAGTAATAAGGCATACAAAGAGTTACTGGACGCGTCATGCTACGCTGATTGTCCAGGATGCGGCAAAGACGTGAGCCTGATTGATGATGATGATGACATCCCGTAGAGCTTGTCATCCCAGTTCATACGATTTGTAAATAGTTTATGGCCAATTATATAATGATATTATCTGTATAAAAGATCTATTTATTGTTCACTGAGTGATACCACGCGTCCACTTTAGGTTCTATTTATTTAAGAAGCATCTTTACCTTATATTGTTTGTATCTTTTTGGACATTTTTTTTTGCTATATGGAATTAGGACATGGTTACAGGTGGGAAGACAACTTTTTTCTCCCTTTCTTGAAAAGATATTTCATGTTATGTTTTCCTTTGTGCGCACAGTGGGGAAAAGCAAAAGTAAGTGGCTTTATTTTTGAAAACATTCATTAGTATATGGCTTTAAATAAATATTTGACTCGCAATGGAGGGTACAGCAGGTCCCAACGAGACGTAAAAGCCCAACATCAGTATATTATTAATGAGTTATTGTATCAGCTCATTAATACTTTTATTACTGATAAATTAATGTGCAAAGTGCTGTTTCCAAATCGAAGCTTATGTTTTTGTCGCTTTATATTTCAACTGAGATGTAAATACTGGTTTTTTTTTCTTGCTCGTTTTTACAGCAAACTTTATTTGATTAGTCACTGTATTTCGGATCTCTCCAAAATAAATAGTAAGCTGAATGCATCTGTTATCGTTGATTAGCAACTTTGTATTTAGAAAGCAATCTGCGAGTACAAAAAGACAACCATAAAAGTTTGAATCCAATCTAACAGGGTCTTCAAAAAAATTTAGCTCCGATTAAACGTTTTTTTCCCAGCTTATTAGCCATTTAAACTTCAAATGATGTACTGAACGGTGACATGGAAGTCCCTACCACTCAGCGATTGTACTGCAGCAACTTTTGCAACTATTAATATGCATTAGCTTATTATAATGAGTATAACGACCAAAACATCACATTTAATGCTCCTGCCGTCTAAAATAGCACTAAAAAAAATGAAATATATATGAGAAATATAAGATAGCACCGAAGAGTGATCTTAAAATTCCAATGTTCAAAATTATTTGAGAGAAACATGCCAGACAGAAGGTCAAACGAAGGAAAGAATAGTTTTGGTAAATGGTTATGATAAATCCTACATGTGTACATATGATTCGAGAACTAGAGACAAATAATAACTAGTACTTCCAGATATCCTCACCCTCCGGTATTTCAGCAATTCGATCTGCAAACATTTTGCTTTGTCCTTTCATCATACTTGCTTTATACATACCTTGCCGATCGAAGCAGTAACCTGAAATAATTTTCCAGTTAATTTGTTGTCTCCAGACACTAATATATTCCCTTTTATATTTCATCTTTCTTGCTTCGCATCAACATTGAAACCTTCAATTTGAAATTAATCTAATGTCTATATTATGTCTGGAAACTGGCGATCCTAACTGTGACTTTTTCGTCAAATGACTTCTACGCGTTAGTTCTCTTCTATGTAAAGGGGTAAGAGAAAAGGGAAGCAATTCGAAGTAGCTCATCTACTCAGAAGTAATATCTTCCTCTTCGTAAATAAATTTTTTATTCTTTCTTCTTGTAAACTCAATGACGCAAATCGCTTAATTTGATAGGAGATGGCATCATTGTCACTTTCAGCACGAAGACCGAAGAATTTTACTAATTTGTTCGAAAAAGTGGAGTAAAAAACTGAAAGGTGTTCTTTCTTAGAAGCATTACTTCGTTTAACTGACTAAAAATGTAATAAAGAGACGAATGAACTTCAAAGAATTGTATGATGGAAATTAGTTTTATCTAGTAGACAAGTGAGGGGAAACTCGTGAGGGAAACAGGAAACTGCCTAATAAAAATAAAAGAACTGTATGAAGTCGGACAAATGGAAAATATCCAGGAGATTGACTGTGTCGGCCTCGAAATCAAAGTATGAATTTGAAAGCAACAGAAAAACAATCCAGGCATTATTAAACGAGTGATCATTGGCATGGAAAAAATCAAACAGCGGGAAGAGTAGTCTCACCGAGATACGCCATTACAGCTACCGATGCCCACAGTGTTTTCTTCTCCCAAATTGCTTTCTTGAAAAAGTATTTCAGCGTAAATGTTCCCATTTATAGATGACTGATTGTTTGACTGAATAAGAAAGTGACCTGAAATACATGATTTGAAAACATAAAGTATCAAACCTAAATTATCTCACTGGTATTCTCGTCACGCATTGCGTCAAGAACCGTCACATATCCTTTTGCCCTTAAGCTTTTCATAGTACGCCAGTCGGAAATTATAAATGTTGCGGCCAATACGGGCCAAATCCATACAGCTATCACTCGCTTAACAGGAAATCGAAACATCTGGAAATAATTAAAAGATTTAAAATTAACCTTGAGAAGCAAACTATTTAACGGGAGCATACCTCTTCAATAAGTTTTGGTAAACCGGATTGTCTAAAGTTAAACTACAGCATTTAAGACTGTCCGGGAAATCAAACAAATTCAACAACTCTACCATCTAACTAGACTAGCCCAAAACTTCCAGAAAAAAAAAAACATTCATAACAGTACGGAATCACAGTTATCTTCCGGTTATGCGTAATTTCAATTTTTCACAGTTACCTTACAAGTGCACACTGTACAATCCGGCAATACCGTCTAGCGCAAAATGCTTTAGCGGTAAGACGCCGAGAGCCGTCAATTACTGAGTTCCATGCCGGTCTGTCCTGGACGGAACGAATAACAATTCGCGGTTTTCTGTTGACCAAGATGTAGAGCCGATAAGTCCGGGATGTCTTAAAGGCGTGTAACGATGAGTCCGGACAATTGCTCTGGCATTGATGATTCCTGAAGTGGGATCAATACCGGTTGATGACTTCTCCCTGTTTGATGTCTAATAATCATTGTAAAAAATGTGTAATTTGTTGATCTGGGGAAGTGGACAGAAATTGTAATCCAAGTACAAATGTTGTTTTATGGTAAAGGAGACAAATTACGAGACTTTTCACCTCTGAATTTCTATGTAAATTGATTTAAACATTGGACGGTCCCGTAAGACTTCCAAAAATGCAATATTCATTGACAAATTCTACCAAATAATAAAGGAAAGCAGCAAATGAAAATTTCAGGTATTTATGACTGATAGCTTCACATCTTCTACATCAGTGGATGGCAGTGAGGAACATTTGGTAGAGACGCTTATGTCGCAAGTTGACGATGAAGATATTACCACAATCATAGGGTTGCAGAAGAAATCGTAAGATTTTTCTCTTCATTTTTTTATAATTTATTATATAATTAGCAAAAGAATGTCCTAAAGATGCATGACGTATTGTATTTATGCATGATTCATCATATGCAAAAAGTTTTTTGTTTCGTTTTTTTCAAGTCTTTAGCAGGAAGTTTATAAATATATACTTTATGTTAACACGAAGAAACATAATTTCGCATGTAATAATTATACCATTCCTTTTACATTATTAAAAGTATCGAGTATTTAATGATCGATTTACCATTTATCACAAATACAGGGATTCTCGTTTATAGTTTTCAGGTTAGCACAGTTCGAGAAAACCAATGAAATGCTAACAAACTGCTGTATATTATCAGCTAGCAGACTTGAAAAAGCACGAAAAGATTTGGCCGAAAACAGACAATTAATACTGGAGATGAAGTCTGACTTGGAATCTGTTTTTCGTCGAATACGCACCTTTAAGCAGAATTATATTACGAAATATGCTGATGTTTATAAACACTTCGGTGTGTTTGTTAATAATGTTTAATAGAGCAATCAATTATTGACTGTCCGTTAAATATGTAAAAATGTTAGCAACTGTATCCTTTTCATTGCATTCAATTATGTTTTAGTATCTGTAGGTAAATTATTTTGATTATACAAAATTATTTAAAACTGTCATTCCAATTAATGATTTTCTGATATTGTCGTTTGTTGTACTTTCAGAGCAACAGTATCGTGATGAAGAAAAAGATGAGTAGGATAGGCATATCAGTCTCATCCTAATCTATCTAAAGACTAGCAAGTTTGATGATATATCCGACTTTTGTGTGTAATGAACGACCTCCACTCAATTTCTACGAGTGGGTGAAGTAATGCATTTATAAGATCTCCATTAAAGGTAGAGATGAAAGATTACTTCACTTCATTATTATTTTTGCTGTTTTACTTCAAAAATGTATATATTATGTATAGAGAAAGCGTAAGATTGTATACACTTCAGTTTCAGTTTGTTCTTTATCTTTTTCTTCACGTTAATTTTGAGCACTTAAGACTGTTGAAATAATTTATTTTTTCAAATAAATACAGCCCGAAATACAAATTCATCAATTACTGATTAGTAAGTTAAGAACTATAAACATTTAGTTCCAGTTTTCGTTTTTAAGTTTGATGGCAATATAGTCGATGATTTAGGGCGCTTCTCTCTCTTTTTCTTGATCTTATGCTTTGTCGAACTACTATGAGTCCTTTTTCGCCTTTTATGGTGTTTGTGATGATTATGTTTCTCGCTTCTTCGTTTCATCTTCCGTTTATTTTCTGTAAAGATCAAATTTTCCTGTTTCTTAAGGGAAGGAAGGTAAATCTTTCATGTAAATCATTCTTATCCGTTTACTAACTTTGCTAGACGCAGAATTTGTAGACCAAGAAAATAGTCAAATAGCCACATTTCTATTCTAAGTGGCCTCATATTACATTTTCAAGTGTTGTAGTTAGATAAGTAAAGTATGATACCAGGTTCATACCTTTAGCAGTAAGTGGCGTTTCGTAGTCGGATTCTGAACTTGTGGAAGAGATATTTGCACAGCTTTCTTCTTTAGGTCGCAGAAAATTGTAACATTGAAACGGAAGATGGCCTGGATAACCACATTTTCGACAAGCAATTTTTGTCGTTTTTTGAATTTTCATTCCACCATACATATCTGTTGCAATACAACTTTTCTTTTTTGCTTTGTTTCAAATTAATATAAGTCAGTTTCATTTATCCCAGATTTGAGAATATCAATAAGAAATGGTAGCAGCTTTGATAACTTCCGTTATTACAGTAGTGACAACTTACCCATAGAAATAGCCGAGCTTCCTAGTTGCTCAGATAGGTTCGGTAATTGTCTGTATTCCCAACTGCTCATATGGATATACGAAAGAATATGGTTATTCGGAAGGAGAGTGTCGAATATTCAAGAAGCTGAAAGAATGATATGTCTGCATCTGCAGCAATCCTTTAAGTATCCATAACATATCAGATCGAGAAAGTTCCAGCAACCACTCCAATATTGATCCGTCTCTCCTATATATCAGATTGACTTCATATTTTTGTTTTATATACTTAAAATATCTCCCGACATAAGTTATAGAGTGTGGTAGATTTCTCTAATTCATCCTCTCGCAACAGAACGAAAGATAAGAGGTAACAGTGTAAATAAAGAAAAAAAAAATAAGATATAGACAATCTAAATGGAACATTTTACTGGAAATTATGAATTTAAAAGAAAAATTTTTTTCTTTTCAAAGTTGAAAAACATGTTGAGGAAATTCTAATCTTAATAAGCCAAAACGATATTTGTCTCTTTTTGAAAGAAGGTGAAAAAGCTAGTGAATAGATGAACAACCGCGTAGTGCTGAATTTCAGAATGGACAAGAATAATCCCCAACAAACATGGGAAGATTGTTACCCGCCCATCACTATTGTTTGCTACCCGACCACATCAATGTTTTGGTTCATTTCAATTTTCATGCAATGCGGTATTTTGCAGTGGACCGTCTTTTCTTGAAAGGTTCGTCCGTTCATAATGTGTCACCAACAATATTTTCAATGGGAAAGAGGAGTCGCAGATATTCCAATGATTCTTCAAATAATATCAGCCAGGCAATTGTTGTTTGAAGTAATCATATAACTTGATTAGTTTTTTTTTTTTGAGTGCATTGAATTTTATCCTTAAAATATGGAGACACTTGTATCGATGGTTCATAAAGTTTTCTTCAAAACTCTACAAATATGCGGGATTTTTCAAAGACTTACAAATTGATCAAGGTATTTCTTATAATTTCACGCTAAATAGTTTGCTATCATTGCAGTAATTAGCATTTTGTTGTTTTCATATATATATATATGTTGTAATAATGTAAAGATAATGATAAAATTTTCTTTTGAATTACTTATTTTGCATTTTTACATGTTAGCAAAATTTGAATCCGCAAAAGTTTTAAAAAAAAAGTTGATAAACTTGATGGAAAACATAAAATGAAATATCCTTTTGTTTCAAGTTATATACAAAAGAGAGAAGAAGCATTAACAAAAAGAATGAATGACGTCGGAATATTTCTTCCCTTATTTTTTTTTCCTAGCTAATTCAATAATAATTGCGATTTATATGACAAACTATTACTTCTCTTTCATGTTGCATTGCACAATTAATGTGCCTTAAATTTTGCAGCTTCAAAGTGTACAAATGTTAAAAAATGTTAAATTTTTTATCAGATAAAAAGTTATTCATCATAAAATGTTTCTGGTTAGAAAAATGAAGGAAGATGCAATCGTGATAACTAATTAAATGAAATTATAATCGATTAATTAGACAATGAAAGAAGCAAAAAGGGAAGCTTTTCGAATTATTGTAGAAAATAGCTAACAAATTTTAAAATCTGCCTAGGAAATTTGAAAATTTAAGTACACGAACTTTACAATGATTGAGACAGTTAGACAAAATTTGGTTATCAAAAATATATTATGGAATTATTAGTTCATAATACTCTCATTGATTGAATTCATTCATTTAAAATCTCGGATTACTGCTCGTTTCGTAAAACTATTTCCGGAATATGAAACAGTTTTTATTAGTTGACATAATTACTCAGTTTCTCAATATCAATAGCATTTCAGCCATCATCTCTTCCGGTACCAATTTGATTTCGATGTTGACAACTCTCGGTTGCCTCGTTGACAATTTTGCTTTTGATTACAATAAAATCCACCGATGATTTTACCACAAATGCTGGAAAAATTTTCAGCAATGACTCATTTATTTATTTATTATAACCTTTTTGCTTTCTTTTTAGCACAAATTATCAGTGTTTAACAATTCTGTCACCGTCATTATTACTGTCACAGAAATGGCTTATGTTCGAAATATTGTAAAATGTACGTGAAAAAAGAAAAAAGAAATTACGTGAAATTACGTAAAGTTTCAAATGAATAAAATCTTCACTCATTATTATACATTCTTGAAACAAAAAAAAAAAAAATCAGAATTTATTAATATCATCCAAAAGAATTGTCACAATGAATGGATGAGTTAATGTTATCATTGAAAAAAAAAAAAAAAATGAGAGAAAATATTAGCTGAAAAGAATTTAATGATAAATCTTTTCTTTATATTACAAAAAAAAACAATGCTAAAATTTTAGATAACTTTAGATCAAATATATTTCATGGTTATCTTTCCTTTTTTCTATTCATTCAAATTTATTAAGTATTCATTCATTATCAAAAAATCTCACCTAAATTCATTATTTACACTTTTTGTTTTATTCAAATTTATTAATTTCCAAATATATTTATCAATATTTTATACAATAAAATAAAAATAATACTTAATTGATTTCCATCACAATTATAAATTGAATTTATTAAAGCAAAATTTTGCATGGAATTTATTACTCGAATTGATCAGTGATACTGGTACTAAGTAGAAAAAATGAAATGAAGTTAATTAATCAGTGATAAGAAAGATCAATCATAGATCATCTATCAGAGATCAACCGGACAATCTTCTTCTTTCTCCCGGATAATGAAACTTACAGTTTATCGGATAGCTGCTGTAAAACAAAAAAAAAAAAAAAAGAAACAGAGAGATGTCTTGGTGAATGATCTCGGAATGAATAAATATAAGTGCTTCACTATTCTCGGATGTATAATCAGTAAGAGGTTACTTATCACTTATCATTTCTTAGATCTAAGTTGAATGCTACAGAAATTTTTCCGGAATAAATAGTTACTTTTCTGTTCTTTTCTGTTCCGTATCGGAACGTGTATTCGGGAAATATCAGAAAATAGAGACAAGAATAGTCTGTTTCATAAGCATATTTATTTATTTATTTTTTTTTTTTTTGATTTTTCGATTTTTCATGATAATTATTTTCCTGTTAAGTTCATATTTATTTATTTTTATTATTTTTTTTTTTTTTTTTGATTTTCCGATTTTTCATGATAATTATTTTCCTGTTAAGTGCTAACAAAATTTAATTTTCAAGGTATGGCGGATTTAGTGCCGGGAACTTCTTCCGATGATACATTTTCACAAGATGATACTGATCCTGAATTGATATTTCTTGATTTTAGCCGTAGTTTAGAGTAAGTGAATTGTACAAAGTGAATTACGCTTAAGTGATTTCAGCTATTTACACGTAATCATTTCCCATTTATTTTCATTCCACGTAAATGTAATGAAGCATAATTTGTGTAACTTTCTTTTTTTCTTTTTTCAATACAATAATGTGCATTTTTTCTTTGTGAAATATTAAAAATTGTTCACTTACGTAAATTATATTAAAAAAATTGTTCACTTACGTAAATTATATTAAAAAATTGTTCACTTACGTAAATTATATTAAAAAATTGTTCACTTACGTAAATTATATTAAAAAAATTGTTCACTTACGTAAATTATATTAAAAAATTGTTCACTTACGTAAATTATATTAAAAAAATTGTTCACTTACGTAAATTATATCAAAAAATTGTTCACTTACGTAAATTATATTAAAAAATTGTTCACTTACGTAAATTATATCAAAAAATTGTTCACTTACGTAAATTATATTAAAAAAATTGTTCACTTACGTAAATTATATTAAAAAATTGTTCACTTACGTAAATTATATCAAAAAATTGTTCACTTACGTAAATTATATCAAAAAATTGTTCACTTACGTAAATTATATCAAAAAAATACGTGTTAACAAAATTGTACTTACGTATTAAAAA